TTGATATTTTGTTTGGAAGATCTAGGACTATGATTCCATTTTTGACAGTGGGGTGTTAAAGTCCCCCACTATAATTGTGTTGCTGTCAATATCTTTCTTGAAGTCCTCTAAGATTTTCTTTATGTATTTGGGTGCTCCTATGTTAGGTGCATATATGTTTACAATGTTTATGTCTTCTTGGTGGGTTCTTCCCTTGAGTATTGTGAAGTGACCTTCTGGGTCTCTCTTTATGGCCTTTCTTTTTGAAGTCTATTTTGTCTGATATGAGTATTGCTACCCTGGCTTTTTTTTTTCCCTGTCTGTTTGCTTGGAAAATTTGTTTCCAGCCCTTCACTTTCAGTCTGTGTAGGTCTTTTATCCTGAAGTGGGTCTCTTGTAGGCAGCATATGTATGGGTCATGTTTTCTTCCATTCAGCTATTCTATGTCTTTTGATTGGAGTGTTTAATCCATTTATGTTTAAGGTTATTATTGATAGGTACTTATTCATTGCCATTTACATGTTTGTCTCTCTCTCTCTCTCTCTCTCTCTCCCTTCCTTTCCTTAAAGCGGTCCCTTTAGTATCTCTTGCAGAGCTGGTTTGGTGGAGGTGTATTCTTTCAGACTTCTTTTGTCTTGGAAGCTTCTTATTTGGCCTTCTATCTTGATTGAGAGCCTTGCTGGGTAAAGTAGCCTTGGTTGCAGACCTCCGGTTCTCATTACTTGAAATATTTCTTGCCATTCTCTTCTGGCTTGAAGCGTTTCCACTGAGAAGTCAGCTGCTAGCCTTATTGAGGCTCCCTTGTATGTTACTTCCTGTTTCTCCCTTCCTACCTTTAAGATTCTCTGTTCGTCTTGAAATTTTGCTATTTTTAATTATGATGTGTCTTGAGGTGGGCCTCTTTGGGTTCCTCTTGATTGGGACTCTCTGTGTTTCCTGGGTTTGTGTGACCTTTTCTCTCATCAAATTAGGGAAGTTTTCCATCATTACTTTTTCAAATAGATTTTCTATCCCTTACTCTTCTTCTTCTCCTTCTGATATCCCTATTATATGGATATTATTACGTTTTGTATTGTCTTGCATTTCTCTTAGTTCCTCTTCATTCTTTCTGAGTCTCTTTTCCTTTTCTTGCTCTGTCTGCATGTTTTTTTCTACTTTGTCCTCCAATTCACTGATCCGATCTTCTGCTTCATTGATCCTGCTTTTCATTCCTTCTAATGTGTTCTTCAGTTCAGAAATTGTATTCTTCATTTCCTCTTGGCTCTTGTTGATAGTTCCTATTTCCTTTTTCATGTTGATACAGTTTGCAGTGAGTTCATTGTAACTTCCCTGTAATTTCTTGTAGCTCATTGTGAGCTCGTTGAGCTTCCTGATAATCATTGCTTTGAACTCAATATCTGATAGTTGAGTTGCCTCTATTTCATTTAGCATTCTTTCTGAGGCTTCCTTCTTTCCCTTAATTTGGGGATTGTTTCTTTGTCTTCTCATTGATTGTGAGACTCCTCTTGTTAGCCTCTGTCTCTTAAATTGATCTGTTCTGGTTCCCTGGGTTTATAGTGTGAACTTCTGTGGTAGAATACCTGTGAGATTCAGTGGTGCAGTTTCTTTCGGGTATCCTGGTGTCCACAGCTTCCTTCTATTCTTTTTCGTGATCAATTAGAGGGGTAAGGCAAAATGGTTTAGGACAGCAACAGAGTATTCTATGATACTTACAGTAGCAGCCAGTAGAGAAGAGATAGGAGATCCTTTGGTTATGTATAGTGTTAACCGTGATCTTCCACCCAACTAGCCACTTTTTAGAAAGGATGGAAAGAAGATAAGACTCTTATTGGGGAGGGAAGGATTGTGAGTTGTATCTAGAAAGCAGTGAGGCTGTGGGAGGTCAGATTCTGAGACAGAGTGAGAGTAAAGAATAGTAGATAGATGTAGTGTGTGAGAGAATAGAGTTAACCACTACAGTAATAGAGTTTGGGAAACTGCAAAGTGGGCTGAGATCTGGGAGGGGTGTTGTGTAGTATTTACAATTATATGGAATAGGTCTTATTTACAGTAATATTAGAGCAACAATCATATGACAGAATCTATGAGATCTAGATAACAAGAATAGGGAGTAGAACCTTGAGTAGTGTACTAATGGAACACAAATGAAGGACAGTAAATTAGCAATACACTATGAATGAGATAACAGGGGAAACCTATCAAATGATAACAATATAAGCAGCCAAGCAAAGAAGACTATACAGAAAGAAGAGGAATACCAAAATACTATTAAAATTAAAAATGTAAGAATAATGAAAAAAAGGTAATACAAATATGCAATAACTTGCAGGTTCAAAAAAAAGGAAAAAAGCAGAAGATGGAATGAAGAAGAGATAAATTTGGAAAGGAAGGAATAACACTAGAGTGAAAGAAAGAGAAGCATAAGACATTGAGAGAATAAAAATAATAAGAATTAAAAAATAAAAAGTTACTTAAAAAAGATAAAATCAAACAAACAAAAAAACCTCTTGTTGGTTTCTAACTGGCCACAACAGCTTTTCTGGTCTTGCTGGCTTCAGCAGGCTAAGGGGCGATTGGAATCGCTTTTCTTCCTTCCCAGTCAGAACTCAGTCAGTCTCTGAAGTACTGTCCCCAGGGCTAGCCATGTGGTCTCCCCAGAGCCAGTCTGTTGCCTCTCCTCAGGGCCCTGGGTGTGGGTCTGGGCACTCCTAAGCATGGTCTTGGAGCTCACCGCTGCGGGCTCAGGGATCCTGCTGAGCCGAGCCTTTTCCGGGTTCACAGTGTGAGCTTTGGGGATCCTGAGGGGCGCGCACTTCCCTTGGAGTTCATGGCCTGGGCACCGGGGATCCCGTGGAGCACCCGTGCCTTTTCTGTGTTCAGGGCTGTGGGGTCTGGGTCTTCCACAAAACCACACTATCTCCAGGTTGGGGGCACAGGCACATGGCCAGGCCACCCTTGGTCGCACAGGCTGTGGCTCACCAGGGCTATGCGTGGGTGCTCGCAGCCCCTGTGTGATTGTCTCTCAGTCCTCACTCCCCTCTCTGTGTCTTCAAGCAAGGAAGTGCTTGAATCCTTGCTGCTCTGTGCTGCTCAATCCTTGTTTGGACAGGGAGGGAGCGGTTGACCCAGCTCTCTCCCCAGTGCCCTGAGGCAGACCCAGAAGCACCGGGCCTGGGAGCTGCAACCTCCCTGGTCCTCAAGCTGATCCCTAGGCCCTTATTTTCCTGAAGCAGTCTCCTTACTGTCTGGTTTTTCAATGTCCGCTATAATTTTTTATCTCCAATTTTCATAAATGTTGTGATGTTGTTGGCTTTTTGCTCTGTTCCTCTGTAGATTGGTTAGTTTTTCTCCTGCGTGTAGGAGGAAGTGGAATCTGCTCCCTCCTACCACACTGCCATCTTCCAAGTCCCTTCTTTTTAATTTTGAGTAATGTAATTTTGATGTGGCTTGATGTGTGCTTCCTTGGGTCAAAATTCTTTGGGACTGTAAGCTACCTGGACATCCTGGAAGTCTATTTCCTTTGCCAGATCGGAGAAGCCCTCCTTTATTATTTTCTCAAATAAGTTTTCAATTTCTTGGTCTTCCTCTCCTCCTTCTGGCACCCCTATGATTTGGATGTTAGAACGTTTGAAGTTGTCCCAGAGGTTTCTAAGCCTCTTCATTTTTTTGTATTCTTATTTCTTCATTCTGTTCTGGTTGAATGTTTATTTCTTTTCTTCTAAATTGTTGATTTGAGTCCTGGTTTCCTTCCCTTCACTCTTGGTTCCCTGTTTTTTTTTCCCTTTATTTTACTCTGCATAACCTTCACTTTTCCTTCTATTTTGTGACCATATTCAACCATTTCCGTGAACATCCTGACTACCAGTGTTTTGAATGCTGCATCTGATAGGTTGCAGCTGATAGGTTGGCTATATCGTCATCACTTAGTTCTATTTTTGGAGCTTCAATCTATTCTTTCACTTGGGCCATATTTTTTTTTGTCTCTGTGTGCCTGTTACATAGTAAAGGACAGAGCCTTAGGTATTTGCTAGGGTGGGGCAACTCACTCCATGTGTTGTGGCACTGTATGCGGGGGAGAGATCAGAGAGGGAACAACTTGCTCATCTCTTGCCCAGCTTTCAGTCACTTTCCCCACTACCCACAAGCAAATTGGTCCCTTCTGGTGCCGATTCCAGATGGGTGAGCTTGTGTATGTTCTAGGACCTGTGTTTCTCTCCAACAACTCTCCTGTGAGGCTGGGAGTTTCTCCCACCACCACAGCCTCCACAGATTTTTACAGCCAGACATTTTGAGGCTTTATTTCCCTGCACTGGAATCCTGCATTGCATGGTGTGTCTCACTCTCCAGTTCTTCTTCCTGGTTCATCCACATGTAAATGTGGGACCACCTGGTTTGCCAGCCGCTGCCTTGCCACGTGTCCCCTTTGCCCTGGCTGCTCACCTCCACCCCTACTACCAGTTTGAATGAATGTTTCTTCTTTAACTCCTTAGTTGTCAGACTTCCATACAGTATGACTTTCTGGCAGTTCTGGTTATTTTTTGTTTTTAAATTTGTTGTTGTCCTTCTTTTGGTTGTGGGAGGAGGCAAAGTTACCTACATCTCCATCTTGGCCAGAAATAATGAGATGATTATGATTGCCACTTGTAGGTGATAGAACAGAAGGTCAGAGGGTTTGGGGAGCTTGCCTGAGTTCACATAGCTAAGGAGTGAATTTTGAGTGGTTGATCAGAAATTTTAACCTAGCTTGTCTGACACCAAAACAGGTCCTCTTAACTTCACTGAAAATTTGACAGATGGAGCCCAGAGGAGGGCAATGACCTTGAACCCAGGTCTTCTGACTCCCAGCCATGAATCTTCATGTCTTAAGAGCAACAGATTCCACTCCCACTCACGCCCAGTCCTTCCTGGGGATGGGTGCCTGGGGCAGAGGACCAAAAGGCAGGTCTGGGGGAGTCCATTTAGGTGGCTGGGCTGGAGGAAGGGCTCAGGGAAGGCCCTGCTCTGTCCCCTTCTCTGTCCAGGCCAAGTGGCAGCGCCTGGCCTCAGAGGGCAACACCCGTCTGGATATGTTTGAACACATCAGCCTCATGACACTGGACAGTCTGCAGAAATGTGTCTTCGGTTTTGACAGCAATTGCCAGGAGTGAGTCTCTGCCCAGAACCTGAGAACATGAGCCATAAATCAAAGGGAGTAGATGGAGGGAGGACTGACTAGGGTAATCACAAGGGCCTTTCTGGAGGAGGTGGGTCAGAGCTGGACACTGAAGGACAAGGATGGGGAAAGAGAAAGAGTGATCCCTTCAGGTAGGTAGAAATGTTTGCTAAGAGCCAGAAGACTGGACTGAGCAGAGTGTCTGTACCAGTGAGGAGACATCTTGGAAATGAGGTGGGAGAGCTTGGCAGGGGATAGATATTTGGGCCATTGAAAAGCCAGGCAAAGAGGTATGAACTTTATCCTGAGGTTTCCAGGGAGCCATGGCAGGTGTTTGAGCAGAGGAAGGTTTTGGCTCTAAGCTGAGCTCTAGAGTCTAGAGATGACTGACTGTTGTGTACACACAGGATGCAAGGAGAGAGTGAAGAGGAGGACTGAGTTTGGTGGAGAAAATGGGACATATTTGAGAGAAGCCAAGGAAGAATGGGCAGGGCCAGATAGTGCAAAGGGGAGAGAGGGGATGAGCATGATGCCTAAGCTTTGTCCTGCAGCCTAGGACATGAGGAAGCTCAGAGAGATGGAAGCATGTGTGGAGAGCATCCTTTTCTGGATCGAATGTGGTCTTGAGCTCTAGCTGGGAGGACCTCCCAAGATATCATGTGTGTTAAGGAGCTGCTTTTTCTGGTCTTTCTTGCAGGAATCCCAGTGAATATATTGCTGCCATCTTGGAGCTCAGTGCCCTCGTGACAAAACGGAGCCAGCAGATATTCTTGCACATGGATTTCCTGTACCAACTCACCCCTGATGGACGGCGCTTCCGCAGGGTTTGCAACCTGGTGCACAACTTCACGGACGCCGTCATCCAGGAGCGGCGTCACACCCTCATCAGTCAGGGTTCTCATGACTTCCTCAAAGCCAAGGCTAAGACCAAGACTTTGGACTTCATTGATGTGCTCCTACTGGCCAAGGTGGGCTTCTCTGGGATCTGAATTCAAGAGGTAGAATGGACACTGATTTCAAATGTCAGATCGAAGAACCTGGACTTGAAGCAGAGGGCACTACGGAGCCATTCAGGGTGCTTGAGGAAGGGAGGAATGGGTCTGAGATAAGCTGTGGCCATGACTGTGTAGAAGGCTATCTGGAAGGAGTAAACAGGAGGCAGGAGACCAGGAAGGACACATGTGGGGTGAGTTCTGGAGCTGATGAGGGAAGGATCCTGCTTGGATGACAGAGCTTCAGGGACTGTTTGAGGTTAGACACAGACACCCTCAGGGCCACTGTGATCCAAGGCATCTTTCCCTTTCTTAAGGATGAAGATGGGAAGAAATTATCAGATGAGGACATCAGAGCTGAGGCTGATACTTTCATGTTCGAGGGTAAGGGTCCCAGGGTGGGACCACAGAGGGGATGGGTCTCCCCATCACAGGGACTTGGCAGGTGGACCCTGGGCCACCCCCATCCAGCCCAATCCTCCCCACCCTCCCTGAGGGTTTTAACATAAGGGTGCTACCCACCTCTGGTGTGGAAGCAGCCCAGACTCCCAAGCCTGTCTGCCTGCCTCTCAGGCCATGACACCACAGCCAGTGGCCTGTCCTGGGTCCTGTACAACCTCGCACGGCACCCAGAATACCAGGAGCGCTGCCGGCAGGAGGTGCAACAGCTCCTGGGGGACCGGGAGCCTAAAGAGATTGAATGGTGAGTGCAGGTTCTCATGGCTCTTCCTGAGCCCCCACCACCCCGACATTGGCTGTGCTCCCGAAGTGGGGAAGAGGGAAGTTCTTTGTTGCTGTTGATTCTGTCACTCTGTCATCCCATTTGGTGTGAATGGAAGCAGAGTTGGGAGGCAGGGTCTGGTATCCAGCTTGGATGGCAGGGGAAATTTGCCAGCTTTAGAGACAGAAAGATCTGAGTGTCCCCATTTATTGTCTCACTAACTTGCTATGTGACTTTAATAAAGTCAGTTTTCCTTTCTGAATGCCACTCTTCTCCTCTGCAAATTGTGTGTGTGTGTGTGTGTGTGTGTGTGTGTGTGTGTGTGTGTCTGAATCTCACGCCCACAGGCTGCTCGAAGAATTGTGACAATGTGTATAAAGCAGAGGCCACCCAGCCTATGTTCAGTAAATGAACTTCTCCCCTCCCTTGCATTTCTGCCTGGTGTTGCAATCTTTCTCCAAAGACCCCCACTCCCCTTATTTGTGCTTTTTTTCTAATGACCACCTAATAGTCTATTTCAGGGATTCCCAAGATGTCTTCAGGGGTAAAAAGTTATCCATCATTCGTTCAGTAAACATGGCTGCACTGCCTGCCCTTTCCCAGCTCAGCATCCAGTCCTGATTGGGTCCTACCTGGGCAGGGCTGGGGCTGAGAGGAAAGGAGGTGAGACTGGGTAGCAAAACAGCAAATATGATTCACCACAGGGAGTGAACAGTGCTCCTGACCAGGGGGAGTGCTTGTGCAAAGGGCAGGACAGAAGCATGCAAGAGTGAGCCTGGCATGTTTGGGAGGGAGTAAAGGTGGCTGGATCCTTGTAACATCTGCAGTGTGAAGAATCAGAGGGGTCCCCAATGAGGCTGAACTGGTCATGGAAGCCCCCCTGAGAGTGCTTTGGAAACCATGTTAGGAGTTTCCAACAGTGTCACTTCAGTTCTTCTGGGAAGTTGATGTTGGATAAAAGATAAAAGTGGGCAGGGATGCTGCCATTAGGGTCCCACATTGGGCAGAAATAATCAGGCAGCAGTGGCCATGTGCTCAGTCATCGGCTAGGGGCTGTCCAGGTGAGTGTGGCCTTGGTGTGAATGCTGCAGCAGTGCCCACAGACCCTACAGGGGAGGCTGTCAGCCAGCTGTTCTTGTGGCTGCACAGCAGACTCTTTCTCGAAGGGAAAGCCATGACTAACGTCGGCCAATGAAGAGCCATGGGAGGTGTCTGAGAAGGGGAGAGACAGGTCAGATATGGGCGTTAGAAATATCTCCCTGTGACTACAAGGACAAACTGGAGTGTATGAGCTGGGGCCTGGGGACCCGGGGTCCAGATTCTGGGCCAAGTTCTGAAGGGTGGAAAGGAGATGTTAGGCTGGACAAACACTTTGCAGGTGGTGTCCTCCACCTCTAGGCTTACCTCAGCACCACTGTCCTGTAATGTGGAGAAACGTTTCTCTCCCATCTTCAGAAAATTGCACACTTGGTGAAAACTCAAATAGTATAATGTGAAATGGTTGACAAAGACTATAAAAGTTCATCTTTTTTCCTCCCAGTTTTGTTGAGCTGTGATGGACATATGACACTGTGCAGGTTTAAGGTGCACAATGCGGTGACATGATGCGCGTGCACAAGGAGTACAGTGAGGTTAGCTGACACACTCATCACCTTGTGCAGGGAGTAGATGAGGATCTAGTTCTTTTCATTTCCACATCATCAGTTGTATGAGCACCTCCCAGCAAACTGTCTGTCCATTTCCTAGGGGTTTGTGGGGCCTCCTTTACTGGATGCTCAAATTTCACCTGTTTGCATGTGGTCTCCAAGCTCTCTACTCTGCTCCATACGTCTGTTTTCTTGTTCTTGTGCAATACCACACAGCGGTTTGGTTTTTTTCTTTTTAATTACTGCTCTTTTGTGATGGGTCGTAATATTTGGTAGATTGAGTTCCCTTTCTTTGATCTTTTATTTTTATTTTTTAAAAGATTTTATTTATTTATTTATTTTCAGAGAGAGGAGAAGGGAGGGAGAAAGAGAAGGAGAGAAACATCGATATGAGAGAGAAACATCAGTTGGCTGCCTTTTGCAGGCCCCAACCTGGGACCCCACCTGCAACCCAGGCATGCATCCCAACCGGGAACTGAACCAGTGACCCTTCAGTTCACGGGCCGGTGCTCAGTTCACTGAGCCACACCAGCCAGGGCTGATCTTTTCTTTTTAAATTGACCTAGCTCTTAATGGACTTTAATTTTTTCAAATTGAATAATATAACCAAGTTCCAAACACATGCACACACACACACACACACACACACAAAGTAGATTTTTATTGGAGTGCATTAAATATTGATTAATTTAGACTGAACTGGCACTTTTACATTAGGTCATCCCAACTTAGAGTACAGAGCGGATCTTATTTATTCAAATACCCTTTTAAGTCCATGATAAAGATGTTTATATTTTGGTAATTATACAATTTAAAAGAATTGTATGCAATGGTATAAATGCTTTTAAGACTGCCCTGTGACTGTTGTGTTTTGCTCAGAAACGATTCTAAAAACACCAGCCTACATTTTCTTCTAGCAAGTTTTGTGATTTTGACTTTCTAATGCTTAAGTTTGGGGTTCATCTAGAATTTATTTTGTTATAGGAGAGAGGGTCAGAATGAGGTGGGAAGAGGATCTTCTGGGGCAGGAGGACATGGGGTAGGTTGGTGGGGAGAGGGTGTCTATTTGTTTAAGGTAGGTATGAGTTTGGGGATATTTGACCCATCTGGAATTTATTTTGTTACAGAGAGAGAACCTCATGGAGCTGGTGGGGGCGGGTCTCGGGTTTGCTCCCTGGGTAACTGCTGGGCTGTTCCTTAGGGAGGACCTGGCCCAGCTACCCTTCCTGACCATGTGCATCAAGGAGAGTCTGCGCTTGCACCCTCCAGTCACGGTCATCTCCCGCTGCTGTACCCAGGACATTATGCTGCCTGATGGACGTGTCATCCCCAAAGGTAATGGAGATGACAGGGGGAGGAGGGAGGTAGTCCTGCCAACCTGGGCCTCGTCCTGACGGCCCCCTCCCCCCACCCCAGGAAACATCTGTGTCATCAGCATCTTTGGAGTTCATCACAACCCCTCAGTCTGGCCGGACCCTGAGGTGCTGCCCCTTCCTTCTTGGCATCCTGGGACCCGGTGATGGGGCGGGATCCAGACCCGGGAAACCAGACACTCCCCCTCCGTTGTATCTACATGTCTTTTTGGGGGATGGCTGTGCGTTCTGCGAAACCCCATCTAGCAGGCCCGCCTTTCTTCAACCCCAGGTATACAACCCCTTCCGCTTCGACCCAGAAATACCCCAGAAGAGGTCACCTCTGGCATATATTCCCTTCTCTGTGGGGCCCAGGTGAGGCCCGCGGGTGTCGAGTGGGGATGGGGTGTGGACGGTTGGGCTCAGCTCACCTGCCAGTCCGCACGGGGGTCCCAGGCACGGTTAACCCCCTTCGCTACCGCTGCGGGCGGGCGTAGGGTGGGGTACGGCGTCCAGGGCCCGGTCCCGGGCGAAATCGGAGGCCCCACGCCCTCCCTCGCGCACGCAGGAACTGCATCGGGCAGACGTTCGCCATGGCCGAGATGAAGGTGGTGCTGGCGCTCACGCTGCTGCGCTTCAGAGTCCTGCCTGACGATGCGGAGCCGCGCAGGAAGCCCGAGCTGATTCTGCGGGCAGAGGGCGGACTTTGGCTGCGGGTGCAGCCGCTGGGCACGGGCGCTCAGTGACACCCCCGGCCCCCCATCACCGCCCTGACCCCACACACGTCCCTGTGCAGAGTCCCGGGGGATGGGGTGGGAAACTGTGCTGTGACTGCTGCCCCAGCCTCCCTGCGGCCCCCCAGCGCGGGGGCGGGGCCGGTGGAGGGGGCCAAGGTTTCTCTGAGCCTGAGACCCTGTCTGCTTCTCCTGCCCACCACAGGGCCCCACGCTGATTGCGGATTTTCCTAGGGTCCAAGCAGGGGCTTTGTAGTGCGGGTAATGGGGAAACATGGCAGGTGTCTGAGCAGGAGAGGGACCAGATTTAAGGATGGGCTTTAAGAGTACATTTGAGACTGAGTCACACAGGAGAACCCATAGCAATACTACACTCTGGCCACCCTAACCTCCGTTCTGATCTCCTAATATACCCAGTCTTTCGTCACCTCTCAATCTTTCCCAGTGTCCCTATGGTCACTGTTACAATGTCTCCTTAAAGATGAGGATCACCTTGCATCCTGGGGACAAGACTGTTTAAGGAAAGTGGAGGGGGTACCTAGAAGCAGGCAGGGTCAGATGACCCTGGATCCACCACAGCCTGGACTTTGCTCCCCAAATCACAACCCCAGTCTGCTATTTGCTGACTGTTTAGCTCCAGGAACATGGTGTCCCTCTCTGAGCCTCAGTTCCTTTATTAACCAATAGGGGCCACTTCATGCCCTGTTGGGGGTCTGAATAAGCAAGCACGTGCCACGTGACCCAGCCATCGTCTGGTAGACTTCAGTCCTTAGTGAGGATTCATTTCCTCCCTTTCCCTTCTTTCTTGCATCACGCTCCACATTTTAAATTTAAAAAAAATCTTAAAAGTTAACTTTAAATTTTGGGAAATGTGGCACCCTGCTGTTAAAGGAGACTATAAAACAAAACCCCCAAAATGTTAAGAAAAAGAACAAATGCTAAAAAAGAAAGCTATCAGTAGAAGATTCAGTAATTTAAAATATCCATTGTTACATCTGAGAAGTTACAAGGATCTTTGATGCAAAGCTGGCCTGAAGCTAGGAACTGGGAAAAAACTCTTTTTTTCTCTCCCCTCCCCCCAGAGATGCATGGCCTGGACTCCATTCTCACCCACCAGGGGTGTGCAACCTTTTGTTGTCTCTGGGCCACACTGGAAGAAGAGTTGTCTTGGGCCACACATTAAACACACAGACACTAACAAAAACAAAAAAAAAATCCCCATGTTTTCAGCAAATGTAGGATTTTGTGTTGGGCTGCATTCATAGCCCTCCTGGGCCGCATGCAGGCTGCTGGCCATGGGTTGGACGCCCCTGGCCCCTAGTTGTTCCAGGACACGGAGGTCTCCTGGGTCTGCAGCAGCTGAGAGGAAGACAGAAGGGGGTCTCAATTCTCTTCATTAATTTGGGTGTCTTTGTTTTTTTCTCATGTGTGTCTTGAAGTTTTCATCACAGACATCCTGTACATATTTCGTTAGATTTGTAACAGCCTGTGAACGTCTCTCCTGTGCCATTGCCCCTTAGCAAGGAGGGGGATCCAGGAGGGAAAAAAGCCATGGGCTTGGGTCAGAGGGCCAGGGGCAAAGCCCAGCTTTGTAACTCTTCAGTGATGTCACCTTGGGTGAGTAACTTGCCCTTTCTAAGCCTCCTGTTCCTTTCCGGTAAAACAGAAATAATAAAAGGCCAGTGGGGACTGGAAGAGCAAGGCTGCCTGTGTGTTTTGATTTGGGTTACCCGGAAGCAAACTCTAATGCAAAGACTTGAGTGCAAATACCTTACTTAGAGGTGATCCTGAGACACGAATTCAGCTGCAAGTGGCTTCTTTGGGAGGTGGTCCCAAGAGATGCCTGTAGGGCAGTGGGCAGGGGAGACAGGGAGGGGAGACAGCAGAAAACATGTGCTTTAGAAAGGAAGTTCCCACTGTGGGCATCTGGAGCTCAGTCCCTCTGGGGACATCTGGGGAAGAGCAGAGAACAGGCACCCACCTTTACTAGACAAGGCCGCATGCAGGGAAATTATTTCTCCAGAATGTCCTACCTGCTGCAAGGCTGAGGTCTGGGATCAGCATGGGGACCTCTGACAGCAGCTGCCTTGGTGAGCAGGAGCACAGCCTGGGGCAGACAGCCACAGTGTGACTTCAAGACACACACACTCACACCCTTGCACACACACGCACCCCCCCACAATTGCATATAGTCACACACACAGCCACACTCGTGCATGTGTGTGTGTGTACACAGTCACACACAGGCTTACATGCACTCAAATGTGTGCACAAATACACACGGTCACATGTGCATACAATTACATGAATACACATGGAAACTCACACATGCACACACAGTTACACATATACTTACATTCAGTCACTCACTCACACACACTACACCAATGGAGGCCAGGCCCGAACAGCCTGTCATCTCTGAACCTTCCAGCAGTGAGAGCCTCAGACACGCCACTCAGAAGAGGAGGAAGGCCCCACAGCCACAAGGGACAGGCCTAGGCCCAGGTGTGTCTTCAGGATCACACACGCAGGTGCAGTGAGTCCCGAGGCCCCTCAGGCCCCCTCCTCCTTCATTCATCCACCATCAAGACCCTTAGTGGGAACTCAAAGCCCCTGTGCACTGGAAGAGGAGACATTTGTCATCGAAGGGGTTTGCTGCACAATGGAGAAAAGAAATGTGCCTTAGCTGGTGGCAAAGTGAGGTCAAAGGAAGAGTTAAGACTGAGGAAATAACAGCACAAGTTTGCTCCAGGAGGCCCAGTCCAACAGAGTCAGGATACACGGTCAACATACACAATTGACTCTGTTCCTGTGTTCCAGGGGCCCACCAGCTATGGTCTACGAACCAAGTCTGGCCTATTTTAAACTAAGAATGGTTTTCTATTTTTGAAGAATTATATTGGGTTGGTCAAAAAGTCTGTCATGTTTTTTCTGCAGGATGGTTCTAGTAGTGCTTAGTTGCCTTTAACTTCATTTGAAACAGTTTTGTTAGATTGTGTTGTGACACCTGTCATATCCGTGTGCATTTAAAAAAAAACATGAAAACTGGGGAAGTTTTGTGCAGCCATTCTAATATTGAATATGGAAGAAAACATGCAACATTTTAGGCATGTTATGCTTTATTATTTTAAGAAATGTAAAAACATAACTGAAATGCAGAGAAAGATGTGTGCAGTGTGTAGAGAAGGTGCTGTGACTGATCGAACGTGTCAAAGGTGGTTTGTGAAGTTCCTTGGTACTACTGACATTTTGGCCAAATAATTCTTTGCTTTGGGCTGTCTTATGCACTGGAAGATGTTTAGCAGCACCCTGACCTTTGCCCACTAGAAGCCAGTGCTGGGAGATAGCTGACACGCTCAAAATATCCAGACCAAGAAAGTTATTGGTGAAAATGAAAACGTGTCTTTTATTTTACAGAGTAAACGAAACAGACTTTGTGGCCAATTCAATAGAAGGACGAGGGGGAAGGGGAGGAGGGGAACCCGATGGATGGGTCGTGCAAGGCCTCAGATACTTGCCACGTGAAGTTTCCCAGGAAAAAGTATGCCAGGGTTCCCGCCAGGACCAGCTGTGGGAATGGAGGCAGGTCTCTCTACCTCCCTGTGTCTCACTTTTCTCACCCAAGACTGGGGGCATTGCATTATTTTTCTTATTTCATGACAGAACGAAGACATGGGCTTGGAATGGACTTGACCTGGAGACTGGAGTTTTTGTGCTTAACACAATGTCCTCTGGCTTCTCACAAGCCTTATATTTTCAGTCCTACAATGTGCCAGGCATGACGCTATGCACTTTTCCTTTTAAAAAGATAATTTATAATTAGCTATATCAGTAATTATAATTTAAAATGCTGTGCAGCTTTCTATAAGAAAAGGAATCAAGTAGTAAGTATGGACAGTTCAAAGAAAAAAGTTGCTCCTTGCTCTTCCCCTCCCATTCAGGGACTGGATGTACTTTTCCAGATTTTTCTGTGCCTAGACATACATGCACGAATGCCCACATAACCGGTTTGTTCAGCACTTTCATCCCTTTGGGGAGTGAATGGTGAGGTGCTGGCAGCTACCTCAGATGAGTCAAATAGAGAGGGTTTATGAAGGGGCCATTTACAAAGGTGCAGCGTCTAGAGGCTGGCATCACCTGGGGGCTTTCACCACTCCTGGGCTCATGGGACCAGGGAGCCAGCTGCTCCTGGAATCCACAGGGAGTAGCTGAAGCCAAACATGAAGGTAGCCTTTGTTAGAGGACAAATGTCATTCCCCTAATCCTCTGTGATTGCCTGCAGTGGTCTCCCACTGACCTAACACTATCTTACTGACTCAGAGAAGCTTCAGGAAGGTGGTCAAAGACACCTGATGCAGTCCATCAGCTCAACCTCGGTCAATGTCAGCTGCCTGTGCAGCCCCCCTGGTGGGCATTCACTCAGCTCCTCTGCACCTGGGAGGGCCCCTTACAAGCTGGTGAAGCAGGTTCCTAAATGGGGAGCAAAACATCTCTCCCTCTGCAGTCTCCTCTGCTCCTTTTGAATGACATCCTCAGGGTACACTCTGTTGGTTTTTGGGTGAGAAGCACCCTTTCCCTCTCCATGAGGATGGTCTCGATGGTCTCTGCTGAGCCTCCTGAGGAGCCCCCTTCTGAGTGGTTGGTGTGGTCAGGCTGGTTTTCACTCAAAAAGTCCCACCCAGAGTAAGCTGATGCCAAAGACCTTGGGTTCTCATGACTTGGCTGAAGTTTTCCTTGCACCTTATTTTCCCCCAAACCAGTTCCTTTGATCACCTGGTGCCACTGCCAAGAAGCTGGCAGCCCCAGTGTACAGAGCTGGCTCTCGCTGGACATGCCTTCAGGGTCGGCCTGGGCAGATTTCATTGCCACCCTGGGTCTCTTGCAAATCTGGTTCCTGCTTCCCTCAGCCACTGACCCAAATTGCCTCACTGGCTCTGCTCATCTGTTTGTCTCAGAATGTCTGAGGAAGGAAGCAAAAATGACACACGCTTCAGGCCATTCGATTGCCACACCCTGTGATGGGTCTCTACAGTCCTGGAGTGGCTGTGGGGCTGGTGGGAATGTTTATGTTTATTCACTGCTCACTCCTCCATGTTATTAAGGTTTCTTGAAAAGGCCACCTCTTCTCAGAGGCCCTCCTAGATTGCCCCATCCAGAACAGCCTCCTTGGTCACTTTTTACCACATCTCAGTTTGTCCATTTTCTTTATTGCCACCCCGCCATCTGACTTGGTCTTACTTCCTGTTGGCTTCCCCCATCAGACATGAGCACCGCAATCCAGAGGCCTCCTTCTGCCTTCTTCTTCCCGGGTCTTGGGTCCGAGCACTGACTGAGTCTGGTACAGAGTAGGTGCCCAAGCAGTTTGCTGCCGAGGCATGAACAACCTGGGATATATACACCCACCTCTTCATTTTACCAAGGGGGACATGAGGCTCAGAGAGAACAAGTGATTTTCCCGAGGTCACACAACAAGTGGCAGAGATGGGATGTCAACTTGGTTTGCACACTCTGGAACTTGTCCCTGTCGACCTAAGAAATGTCCAAACCGGTGGAGAATTTTTTTTTTTTGGTGCATTTGAGCCAAACTGATGACAAGTGCTGGGAAGCAAACTCTCAATGGACTGAGAAAATGCTCTGGAGAATGGCAGCTTTGCAGCCTATGTTATGGGTTACAGCCCACAGTGGAGGTGTAAGGAGGGATACAGGAAATCTACTGGTGGTAGATTAAGGGGGCGGGAAGAAGCAAAGCCCATACATCTCTGGGACTGGACAAGAAGTAAAACAGAGAGGGACATACGTCTTACACATTGGTGGGTACAGGATAGTTAATGAAGAACTTTTACAGCATGTGAGATGGTATTCGGGGATCAAGATGAGGAGATGATGGTGAGGGTCTCTGGGGTCTGCTGCTCTGGTGTGGTCGCTGTGCCCTGAGGGGTCTGGAAAAGGACATTGCTCTGACATCTCATAGGTGTGTCATCATAGATGGAAAAGGACAATAGACAGGCTCACTTGAGGTAAAGTTTGACCTTTGACAAGGAAGCTACAGGCCTAGGACGTGCCTATAAACCATGAAGCCCCCATATTGGCAGGGGACATTTCACAAGCCAGGCTTGTGTGATTTGGAAGCTGAGACCTTCACCACGAGGAATGCTGCAGCCTCCTCATACTCTGAGTCAAGTCCCCACCTGAGGCACCCTTTCCTCTTCTCTCACCTGACCCAGGAATGGCAGTGGGGAGCCCTGGACTAGTAGACTCTGGCCTCGTGATGGCTGAGGAGCCCTGCTGGAGTCTGAGTCCTTGGTCGTGGCTACTGAAAGTTCAACCTCAGCGTATAGCTGCCATTTGGGGCCAGATATTGCTGCCCACCTTGGCCTAGCCCAGGATTCACTGCATGACTTCATGGGTTAGTGCTCTCAGCCCCAGAGTTGAAGGAACAGAGCCAACTGGCTTTTGGTGCAGCCTGAGTGTCCCATTCCAAGCCTGTCCCTGGAGGCTCTCCCTCTTTATTCTGGTCTTTGCTCACCCTGACCCCTGGCCTAAGGTGGGACCCCTCCCACAGGCACATCGCTGATCACTGTCTGAAACTTCTGATCATTCATTTAATCATTGCCCATCTCTCCATAAGACGTGAGCCCCTGGACAGCAGAGGTGATGTCTGCTGTGCTCACTGCTGCATCCCCAGTGCCCAGAATAGTGCCCAGCACATAATAGATGTACAAGAAACACGTGGTTATGTAAACAGCCCCAGGAGGTATAGATTTCCCCCCTTGTTTTATAACTGAGAAGAAACCCAGCCTGTGAATCAGAAAGGTGAAGGTGCTCCCTCCTTGCTTCCCTTGTAGAATCTGGACTGGGGGGCTCTAAAGCCACATGTCTAAAAACTGAACGAGTGTTCACCATGCCCCAGTGAGGATGCACTTCTTGGTCAGCGTTTCTGGGCCAGGGCGCTACATTCTGTACTCCCTGCAAGCTCTCAGCTGAGACTGATGGTGAAGGTCTGAGGACCACCCTTGGTGAGGCTGCATTGTGGAATTCGAGGTTGCAAAGCTCACTTTCTTCCCCAGATATTTAATGAACCCCTACTACGTGCCAGGCTTTGCTGTCTTATTGACCAAATTTGCTGTGAGGCTGGAGCAAGTTGCTTCACCTCTCTGAATCTCTGCTTCCTTTTCTGTACAAATGGGCTCCTGAGGATGACACTGCCGGGCTGTTGGATGGTCACGCACCAGCAAGAACCACAAAAGCAGCAACAACAGCAGCAACCACAGTGATGACTGGCACCTCCTGAGGCCTCCTTCTCAAGTGCCTCGCAGACATGGTCTGTTTTAACTACTTCCGTGTCTTGGAGGGGGCGTTGACGAAATGCCCACTGGTTCAGGGCACCCAGTGTAAGGCCTGGTGCACAGTCTGGCTCCACCAGCTGTGTGACTTTGGACATGTCACTCACATGGAATTCAGCCTCAGTTTCCTCATCTGTAAAATGAAAACAAAAAAGGCTAATATATCTGAAGAGCTTAAAACAGATTCAGCGGCTTATGTTGTCAATTGCTCCACAGATTCACAGTGAGCTGGGCCCTCTGGGCACTGGGGTTCCTTTCTTCCTTGTGTTAAGACCTCTGTCTGGTTTATCATACCCTGACTTTGCCCTTGAGCCTCTAGTGGATGGGTCTGCCAGCAGGTGAATTCTGCCCTTGCAGAGTGGATCAGATTCTGGGGGCAGGGTGCACCTTCCTCACTGAGGACTCTGGGACCAGCCACCCTTATCCCCCAACGAGTGGGAGGGGGAGAGGGATGTTTGGAGTCTCCCCGACATTCTCCTAGTGTCAGAGGGCCTGTCTTTTCCCTGCTCTTCTGCCCAGCAGCTCTACCAGGACCTCCATCCTTCAAGCCCCCCTTACCTGAGATCACTCCCTAGGGAAATTCTGAGCAGGGTCAGGGGATGGCCAGGAGTGGAGCATTAGGTCCACTGAGAGGATATTTCCCCTCTGGAGTCACCATATTGCCTGAAATTTACCACTATAAATGTCCCTGGATTAATAGGGCACAGGCCCTCCTCACATGGGTGATGCAGCGTGGCAGAGGGAAAGGCTTGGATTGGGAGTATGAGCAACCCTGGTTCCTTCCAGCCCTGCAATACAGGCTAGAGTCTTGCCCTCTCTGAGCTTCAGTTTGCTCTTACATTAAGTAGGTGTCTTCCCTCCTGGGATGCTGTCACCTGGGTCTCTCTGTGTGATTCCCCAGGGCGCCAGCCCAGAGGGCAGAGGGCAGGAGGGTGCATCAACTGCAGGCAGAACCCCTGGCACATAGTAGCTTTACTTCATGGGTGGTATCTGATGCACAGAAGGAGCATCCAGCACATAGAGGCATGCTTTATGTAGTATGTCTGGTACTCAGTAGGCAATTTTTATGTAGAATGTCTGGCACACAGTAGGCCTACTTTATGTAAGTACTTCACACAGAATAGGTTTACTTTATGTAGAGCACCTGACACATAATAGATGTGCTTTATTTAGAGTACCTGGCACACAGTACGCATGCTTTACATGCGGTATCCTGCATGCAATAGGTGTGCTTTATATAGAGCTCCTGACACCTCATAGGCATGCCTTATGGAGCGTACCCAGCAACCAGTAGACATGCTTTATGTACAACACCTAGCATACAGTAGACAGTATTTATTAGAGTACTTGACCCACAGCAGATGCACTTTATATAGCACACCTGGCACACAGTAGGTACACTTTATGTATGCAGCTGATACAGAGTAGGCATGCTTTTTGAATTACCTAGTATGCAGTAGGCACAGTCTGTAGAGAGTACCTGGCACACAGATGTGCTTTATACAGTGCACCCGGCACACAGTAGGCATGTTTGATATAGTGTGCCCAGCACATAGTAGGCACACTGTAGGTACAGTCATCTGTGCAGAGCAGGTCTACTTTATGTGGAGTACAGGTACACAGCAGCACAAGTACTAGCTGCCAGCTCTTTCCCTTCACACCATCTTTTTGGGGGACTCCTGATCCTTCTTTCCCCCTTCCTGTGTAACCTTCCTCTGTCTCCCTCTCAAGACCTCCCTCAACATCCCAGATGGAAGGCTGATCCCAGAAGGGCTGGCCCAGCAGCAGTTAGAACAAGGGCGGAGTAAACTCATTCCGGGCCTCCCAGCTCTGCCTCCCCTGTCTGGACCCCTCACACCTACCCCCTTGCCTCCAGGTGCTCTCTTTTCACGGAGCCCTCCCTCCCCTGAATCCCATGGGAAAGTTCCTGCTCACAGCAGGCAGGTCTCAGCTCAGGCCCTGGACTGTTTGGAGGCAGGACATTAATGCCTGTCAGGCTGTGCACCTGGAGGTCAGAGGCTGGAACTTCTGAGTTTCCTGCTTCTGAGTCAAGAAACCGCATGACAAAGTTGTCGCAGCTCAGAGAGAGGAGCTGGGTAATGTTGGGGACCCGGCTCATCTGGCAACTAAACAATCAAGTTAAAGCTGCCACACTCTGCCATACCCTGGTCTTGAGAGGGGAGAGAAGACAGTAAACTTGGGGGCCCAGAGTCATCTTTCACTACACCCCCCAACTTGCTCCCATCCCACTGGAGGGTGCTGAATCCCGAGGATCCAGTGTCCACACTGTGTGACCCCGAGCTAACCCTAGGCCCAGTGGACAAGACCATAGCCCCACCCCTCGCCCCCACCCTGTATTTGCGCCTGTGCCAACAGGGTGGAGGAAAGCAGGTGTTTGGGGATTGGCTGGTGTAGTCCAGCCCCAGACAACTTCCCCTGAGATCAGAATCCAGGGGCAAAGGCTGTCCAGGTGGAGGGGAGAAGAAGTCGTGTGGGACTAGCGGCTCCAGGCAGAAGGTGCCAGTCCTGGGGTGAGGGAGCTGGGGGTCCTGGCCTAGGGTGGGGAGACGTGTTGCTCAAAGTAGGGGTGGCTCCAGGGAACAGACTGGCTTGGGACTTGATTGGAAAACAGTGGGTAATTAAACTCGGTTCTCTTCCTCTCTGTGTCTGTCTGTCTCTGTCTCTTCCTCTCCCTCTTCCTCTGCATTTCCCTGGGTCTCCCCTCTCTCCTGAGAACCCATTCACCCACCTCTGAGCACTCCCTTCCCTGTCCCCAGCACTCACCTGGCCCTCTGTGTCCCTGTCCCTCACACCCTCTGCCCCCTCCCTCTGTCTGTGAGCTGGTCTCTGCCTCTGAGCTCACCTATTCCTGGCCCCCTACCCGGCCCCCTCCTTGGCCTCAGGAGGACCCCCCTCTGCCTTCCCTGCAGAATGTCACAGCTGAGCCTTTCCTGGCTGGCACTGGGGCCACTGGCAGCCTCCCCGTGGCTCCTCCTGCTGCTGCTGGGGACCTCCTGGCTCCTGGCCCGAGTCCTGGCCTGGGCCTACACCTTCTATGACAACTGCCGCCGCCTCCGATGTTTCCCAGAGCCCCCAAAGCGGAACTGGTTGTTGGGTCACCTGGGTCTGGTGAGTGTGGGCAGCAAAATGAGTCCTAGTCGTCAGGGTGGGTGGGCTCCCCGGGGGGTTGGGAATGGGGCTCAGGTGCTGGGCTGAGTTCTAGGGCAGCAGAGAAGCAAGGGGGGTCAAGAGGAGCCCCTCTTTTCTCGCTCACTTCTCCACTCTGCCATCCCTGGCCTCTCCCACATCCTTGTGCCCGCCCCTGGCCTGCTTTGGTCCATCTCCTGCCTGTCTTCCCCACATTAGTGCACCTCTGAGGGGCTCCCAGGGTGAGTTGCACAGAGCAGGGTGCCCTCGGCTGGCATTCCCAGTGTCCACAGCTAGCCTTGAGACCACCTCAGAGGCACTCTCCAAGGTTTGCTCCCTGTGACTGGTCCATTTCCCTGTGTCTGCTCACCCCCACCCCGAAGGGCTCATCTCCCCACCCCCTCACCTTCCTGGCACACCTTCCTCTTGTCTTACACTTCCTTTCTAAGATGTCTCAACGGGCCTGTTGCACAGCCTGGCTAGAGCTGGCCTCCCACATCTCTTTTCCGAAGCCCTCTTCAACTCCCCACCCACACCCCAGGCTGGGCCCTTTGACTTGGTCCTGCCCCACTTAATTACACTGTTCATTGTTTAATTACTTATTATCTGGCTCTCCAACTTGATGTTTGCTCTGGGGAGTAGACACCTTATCTGTAGTACCTAGACCAGAGGCTGCCGTACATCAAGGACTTAATAACTGTTTGAACCCTTATGTGATGACCTTGCTGTCACCTCCCTTGGTCATGGCCAAAAGGATGAGTGTCCACCTCCTCCCTCCCCCCCAGACCAGCTTCCCTTTCCTGCCCAGGATGAGAACTACAGCTTGGGGAAGGACCTCCTGTGCTGTTGCTCCTCACTATGGCCAAGGTCGCAATGGGACATTCCCAAGCTCAGCGTGAAGGTTGCCTGAGATTCTGGGCTTTGGAATGGAAGTTACAGCCATTCCGACTGCCCCTCTGTGGGCTCAGCCGTGGGAGCTAGTCTAGGCCACTCTTTCTCGTCCAGCCCCTCTGCTGTGTGACCTCAGCTGAGTCACTCTCCCTCTTTGGACCAATCTCATCAAGGGCTTTGAATCTTCCCCTTATGGTCCTTGGGGCCCAGGGAGCAGATCACTAGGGTGAAAATGACTTATGTTTGCCTGCCTGGAGCACCTGGAGTCTGTCAGGCTCTGATGGGGCATCCTGAGGGACTGGAGAGGACCCTTCAACAGCAGGTGATCCATCCTCCTCCCCCTCTGGGGGGATGTGGCCTCAGTTTCTTCATTTCTAAATAGCATGATTGGTGGGTGTGTCCATAGGCTGAGGACACAGATAGCACGAGACAGAAAAGATGAACTTGGGTAGATAGCTAGATAGATGGGTAGGCAGGACCCACTATTTGAAAGATAGACAGACTGCAGACATGATGCATTCTGATAGAAGATAGATAGACAGGACAAACTATGCCAGACAGACAGACAGACAGACAGACAGATGGGACGCATTGTACACACAGCTCGGCTGGCAGAAGGGGCTCATAGGTGGGAGCTACCCTTCTGATCACTGAACAGAGTTCACATCTGTCTCTTGGGGTTTGCTCAGGCTGGAGGGTCCCAGGTCTGCAGACCTTCACCATTTGAGAAACTGAAGGGCATGTGGACCAGCTAGGACATGAAAGGATATGGGACTAAGACTCCAGGACAAACCCTGAGGCCACTGTGCTGCCCACAAACCTCCCCCAGGGGACCTTCCCTGTGGTCCCCAGACCCAAGCCTGGAACCACTCCCAGGATGAGAAAAATCTGTCTTCTGAGCCAAGGTCAGCCTCTCTGTGGGCAGAGGGCAGGTCTTCTTGCTGAGACCTGGGGTGCACCCTGAGGATGTGGGGAGGCCTCTAGGGCCCACCTGCTCTGAGGGGGAAAGAGCAGGAGGAAGCAGATCTTCGTCCACACAAACTCCAGACAAGCTGTCCACCACAGAGGCCACAGGCTCCTTTGGAGGAGTGACACCCTGCTTTGCTTTCAGGTCCTCCCCAATGAACAGGGCATGAGGGACATCACTCGGCTGTTCACCACCTACCCCCAGGGATTTATGATGTGGCAGGGCCCCACCTTCCCCCTCGTTGTTTTCTGCCACCCAGACATGATCCGGGCTGTCACCAGTGCCTCAGGTACTGACAGAGCTGGTGGTGGTGGGTGCTGTGGCACATCTGAGGCTTGCAGCTCTTCCAGGCCATTCTTCTGTGTGACCTGGACAGGACCTGGCCTGCTTCCTCTCTTCTCCTTAGCATCTTGCTCTTTTCTTCATGTATTCAACCCTTCATCTCACCTCCTCCTCCCTCCAATGCCGTCTGCCTTCTGCTCTGGTGTCCTGCGCACCACTGGGACCCCAGAAGGCTTCAATCCAGGATTCTGTTCTGGAGGAGCTCCCAATCTTGAGGAGACACCTTAGGGACAGGGAATCCCCAACCTGGAGTGGTCAGGAGGTGGCCAGAGGCAGGCTGTGGCAGCCTGGAAGGCCTCCTGCGGGAGCAGTTCCTGGCACTGGGTCTGGAACAATGAGTAGAGATTTTCTGAAGCAGGGGGTAGAGGGAAGCAGTGGACATTGCTAGCACTCCAGGCCTTTGTATCCCAGACCTGCCCCTTCTCCCCTCCCCCAGGGCCCAGAGCAACGAGGGCTTGCTGTTTCTGTGGTGTCCACCTCTAGTGGGTCTGTTCCTTCTACCCTACCCTGCAGCTCATGCACTTCAAATTGATTGTCCTCTGGGTGAAGGCCCTGGGAAGGTGTCCAAGGAAACACCACCCCAGCCTGGATCCCTTCCTTTGCTCTCTACCTTTCTCACCCCCACATAGCTCAGGCTGTGCAGGAGAAAAGGCAGCATTGGACAGAGAGCTTGGCTCTGAACCAAAAGTCTGGGTGACTCTGGGCTCTCCTTGATTGCTGAGTTCTCTTTCAGTTCTGAGTGGTGGAAACTCAAACATGTGTGGTCTAAGCAAAGAAAGGGAATGGAACCACTGTCAATTCCATGAATGATGCCTTCAGGTACAGCTGGGTTCAGGTGTCAAACAATGTTCTCAGGACTCTGTCCTCATTTTTTTCCTGGTTGTTTTCCTCTGTGATCTCTTCACTCTCATGCTGGTGAAGGTGAATCCCAAAAGCTCAGCCACCATGGAAAAGTGAGCTTGTTCCTGACAGTTGCAGGCAAAGCTGCACGGTTCACTTTAATTTGTCTGGCTTAGGCCAGTTCCTCCTCCAGTCACTGCCACTCTGACTGCCCAGACTTGGCAGGCATAGGGTTCTCAGGGTCATTGTCTTGAAGTTCAAAGAAGTTCTATAGTTAAGAACTCAGGAGCTGGATGCAGACAGACCTGGGCTCAGGTCTCAGGCATGCCACCCACTGTCTGGGAGACTGCAGACAAGTGTCTTCATTGTTTCGAGCCTCAGTTTCCTTATCTGGAAACTGGGAACAGAAGAGGAGTCAGGTGAATGGGGCGTTTGGAATCCAAATGAGAAAAGACCCTGATTGTCGCAGTGTTAAGTGAGTGGGGTGGGGACCCCAGGAAGAAGATGACCTGCTGGATAAGATTCATGGAGCTCAGGTCTAGGTCTCTGTCCTGAGTGTTCTTCCCTTTGGCCAGCCAGAAGAGTGCAAATTGGCTCCACTCTGTTCCTCTCCAGATTCGGAGCTCGGAGGAAGGTCTCCTGTACACACAGGGCCTGGCGAGCACCTATGGGGATGTGTGCTGCTGGTGGGTGGGGCCCTGGCACGCCATCGTCCGTATCTTCCATCCCACCTTCATCAAACCTGTGCTCTTGGCTCCAGGTAGACATGCCTCTGGTCACAGCTTGCTCACTGCTGAGGTCTCTGTGCTGCCTCCAGCTGGGCAGGTGACCTGGGTGCAGACAGGAGAGGCCATGACTGAGATGCTGCTGCCTCTGTCTTGCCTGGACCCCCACCTGCCCCACCTCTAGTCATGTCTGCTCACACCGAAGGTGTGCCTGTGTGGTGTCTTTTGCTTGGCCATGCCTGGCCACATTTGTGTTTCCACCTGTGTCCTAGTTGTAGCTCATACTTGTTTACACCTGGGATGGAATGGAGACGGCCTCAGTCGTGCCTGGGGCTCAGCTGTGGCCAGGGATGTTTCAGGCCTGTCGGAGACTGTGTGGTGCTTGTCTGAGATGCCTTTTGAGATTGTCTGGTCATGTCCAGGCCATGTTCTTGTTTTGTCCCTCTAAGACATGTGTGAGACCTTATGTGAGTCTTGTTCAAGACAGGTCATAGGGTATGTCTGGGTCATACCTGGTCCACATCTGTGACCTTAATGAGACCAGTTTTAAGTCCTATCTGGGTCTCATCTGTGGGACACATGGAGATCATGTCAGATGGTCTTTGCATCCATGTCAGAATGTGTTGCATCAGGCCAGGGTGTGCCATGCATGTTTGAGCCATGGTGTGACATGTTAACACATGTTGGGGCATGTCCCATGTCCCAGGAGGTGTCAAAGAGTGTGCTGGGGTAGATGGGGGGTCTGAGGTCCCTGTAAAGGCACCTGGTAGAGCACTGGCTTGTGTTTGGGTGTGTAGAACATGTTGGATCATGTAGGAGCCACGTCAAGGTGTGCTGGGCATGTTGTGCCATGTTGGGGTGTGTCCACACATGTAGAGGTATGCCTTTGGTCACTGCCTTTGCTCTGCTCTGTGTCATGGCCCTCACCTCCCCCTTCCTCACTGTTTCCTCTGTGCCTGTCCCATTCTGCTATGCTGGGTACCCCCTCCCCCCTGCAAGAGTCCCTCTCCTTCCCCTGTGCATGGCCCCTGATGGTGTTCATTCATGTCAGCTGCCATCGCACCCAAGGATATGGTCTTCTACAGATTCCTGAAGGCTTGGTTGGGTGAGTAACTGAGGGTGATGGGGATGGGGACCCTTGGGGGGGCCAGGGGAAGACACTGCCCCTGCCCACTCCCTGTGGCTGCCTCTACTAGGGGATGGGCTTTTGCTGAGTGCTGGTGACAAGTGGAGCCGCCATCGGCGAATGCTGACACCCGCCTTCCATTTTAACATCCTGAAGCCCTATGTGAAGATTTTCAGCAAGAGTACAGACATCATGCACGTGAGTCTCCTGAACTCAGGATCCCAGCTGGAGCCTCAGGGGTAATGGGGACTCAGGGGCATCTTGTCTGGAATTCTTGCTCTTCTGGTTGGCTTCTGGGCCATTGCTCTTCCTTTCTGAGCCTCAGTTTCCTCAGCCATAAAATCGGAACAACGGTTGTCATTTTGTAGTGTGGTCAGGATGACATAATGGAGCCATGTCCCCAATACATAGTTGGTGTTCAGAAGGCATTCATTTCTGTTTCCCTCACAGAAGCCTTGGAGTCCTGAGACATGGTTGACGATAATGATGAATATTGCACAGTAGTTACTGCTGAGTAACAAACCATTTCAAAACAATAAGGGCTTATTATTGTCAACAAGTCTGTGAGTCAGTTGGCTGGAGCTTCTGCATGTGGATGAGGTTATTCGTGTATTTGTGATCAGCTGTTGGCAGCTTTGCTGCTCTGGGCTCAGTCCTTTCACATGATTAGGCCTTGGCTGGCTTGACCTAGGATGGTCTCAGCTGGCACAGCTGGACTTTGTTCCATGAGATTCTCTCTCTCTCTCCTTCTTGGACGTCTCAGTCTGTTCACATGGTGGAGGCAGGGTTCCTAGAGACTGAGAGGAAGCTGCAGTGCCTCCTGAGATCTAGGCTTGGGATCATCACCTCCCTATTCTCACCACTGTCGACTGGCCAAAGCAAGTCAAAAGGCCAGCACAGAAAGGGTAGTGCAATAGGCTCCCACTCCTAATGGGAGTTGCTGAAAAATGTTGCGAAGAATAGGGATATGTAAAGGGAAGTGAGGAATTGGAGGTAAGGTTTTGTGAAGTGCCTGGGATTTTCCCCAGCACTTCACAAAACCTTTTCACTTGCAAGCTGACAAGTGAGCTTGTCACTGCTTTGTGGATTCTCCCAGAAGATATGAGACATCTGGGTAACAGACAAAGGACAGTTTGTAACTCATGGCACAGCAAGCTGCATGTGCCTCTATGGGCTTGCATTCTCTCTCCAAGTCACCAAAGCTCAGGCAATGACACAGGTGGGCTTAAGTGCATGCCTGCTCATGCAGTATGTTGCATTATGGGGGGCACCAAGTTCAGGGTCTCTAACCTTTATAGCAATTGGAAGAAAGCCTGATATTTGTCCAGGGGAAGACATTATCTCATCCTTCAAGGCTTTTGGCAGCAAACACAACTCTGAGAGATGGCCCAGGTAAAGAACACCAGGACCATGCATTTTTGGCACATTTCTCAAGAATGTGCAGGGGTGTTCAGGGACCACGGAAGGTTGACTCTCCCAACACAAGGGACATTTTCCTAGTCAACTTATAACAACGAAGATGGTGAAAGCGTACATTTATTGAGTATATACTATATGCCAGAAATAATGTGCCAATTCCATTATGTATGTTGTCTTTAGTTTATACCACTCTGCGAGGTAGAGACCTTCTTTTCCGTGTTCTGAATGATTAAATTGAGTCTCATATTGGTTAGGAGGCTTGCCCACATTCACCCAGCTAGGGAGTGAGCTAATAAATGGATCTGGGATTCCAACCTGGTTTATTTGACACCGAAGTAGGTCATCTTACTAGTACTCAAGATTTGACAGGTGGAGCCCAGAGGAGCTCAATGAGTTGACTAAGGGAACAGGGAGCACAAGAGGCAGAGCTGAACCTTGGACCGAGGTCTCCTGACTCCCAGCCATGGAGTCTTCCTGTCCTAAGAGTAACAGATTCCACTGCCACCCACGCCCGGTCCTCCCTGGGGATGGGTGCCTGGGGCAGAGGACCAAAAGGCAGGTCTGGGGGAGTCCATCTAGGTGGCTGGGCTGGAGGAAGGGCTCAGGGAAGGCCCTGCTCTGTCCCCTTCTCTGTCCAGGCCAAGTGGCAGCGCCTGGCCTCAGAGGGCAACACCCGTCTGGATATGTTTGAACACATCAGCCTCATGACGCTGGACAGTCTGCAGAAATGTGTCTTCGGTTTTGACAGCAATTGCCAGGAGTGAGTCTCTGCCCAGAACCTGAGAACATGAGCCATAAATCAAAGGGAGTAGATGGAGGGAGGACTGACCAGGGTAATCACAAGGGCCTTCTTGGAGGAGGTGGGTCAGAGCTGGACATTGAAGGACAAGGATGGGGAAAGAGAAAGAGTGATCCCTTCAGGTAGGTAGAAATGTTTGCTAAGAGCCAGGAGACTGGACTGAGCAGAGTGTCTGTACCAGTGAGGAGACATCTTGGAAATGAGGTGGGAGGGCTTGGCAGGGGATAGATATTTGGGCCATTGAAAAGCCAGGCAAAGAGGTTTGAACTTTATCCTGAGGTTTCCAGGGAGCCATGGCAGGTGTTTGAGCAGATGAGGGATGTGGCCAAAACTGAGCTTGGAATCTGACTCTAGAGAAGACTAACTGTTGTGTAGACACTGGACAGGTGCTGGCCTTGAATGCAAGGATGCAAGCGAGAGGCTGGCCCCACTGACCAGTTAGGACAAGACGGAGTCTGAGCTGTGTGGAAAGTCTGGGACAGAGAGGGGCAGATACCGGGTGGGAGAGAGAGGAGAGAAGCATGTGTCTGAGCCGTGTCTGGGTGCCTGGGGCATGGAAGCAGTGCATGGGGATAGGATGCAGGGAGAGAAGAAAGTGTACAGGGTTGTGTCTCCTGGATGCTGCCCTCCATGCATCTGTGGGGCCATCTGTTCCTGGATACTCAGTTTCCTAATGGGAGGTCCCTCCTGGCTTCTGGTGGGAGGTCCACCTTGGGCTTCAGTGAGTTAACTTGGTGCTGCCCTTGTCCTGCAGGAAGTCCAGTGAATACATTGCCGCCATCTTGGAGCTCAGTGCCCTTGTGACCAAACGGCAGGATCAGCTCTTCCTGTATTGGGACTTCCTGTACCACCTCACCCCTGATGGGCGGCGCTTCCGTCGGGCCTGCCGCCTGGTGCACGACTTCACAGACGCCGTCATCCAGGAGCGGCGCCGCACCCTCCCTGATCAGGGTGTTGATGACTTTCTGGAAGCCAAGACTAAGACCAAGACTTTGGATTTCATTGATGTGCTCCTGCTGAGCAAGGTGGGCTTCTCTCGCATCTGAATTGAAGAGATAGACTGGACCTTGATTTCACATGTCAGATTATTTGAAAGATTTCACTTACTTGTTTTTAGAGAAGAGGAAGGAAGGGAGAAAGAGGGAGAGAAACAATAATGTGTGAGAGAAACATTGATTACACGCCTCCAGCTGGGGACTGGCCTGCAACCCAGGCCTGTGCCTTCTCTGGGAATCCAACCAGTCACCTCCCATTTTGAAGGCCAGTACTCAGCCACTGAGCCACACCAGCCAGGGCTCATATGTTGGGTTGAAAAATGGATGTGATGCAGAGGGCACTGGGGAGCCATGGTGGGTGCTTGAGGAAGGGAGGGATGAGTCAGCGATAAGTGATAGAGATGACTGTGTGCAGTGCAGTCTGTAGGGGATTGCTAAGTCTGACACTGTGAAGGGCCTGAGGTGTTTATCAGAGCTGTGCATCAGAGCAGCCCATTCATTACTCATCACAGTAACGGTAGCCAGAGTAGAACTGTAGCTCTGGTTCCCTGTTCCCAAGTTATCCTGAGGGCTACATGATGCTTTTACCTGGACACGCAGCCCTGCTTGCATCACAGGAGAGGTACCTGCACAGTTTGAATCTTGGAACTGACATGAATCAGCTGACCTTTCTGTCCTTTCTGCCCTATGGTGGGGAGGGAGGAAGAAAGAGGAGGAGAGAAAGAGATTGTTATTGCTTTGGAGCATAAAGGAATCCTTTGGGAAGGCAAAGTCTACAGATTCTATAGATTTACAACCCATTCCTTATCTCCAGGGAAGATAGAGTCTCTGGGTTTACTAGCCTCAAATATGAGCAACTGGTTCTTCAGCAACCTCCATTTCTAACTTCCAAAGGAGTGTAATCATGTGTAAGCCAGGTTGCCAGTAACTTTTGAAAACCAGAAATCCCTTATCACATAGAGACATGAAAATACTCATGGGCCATTGATTCCTCTCACTTGGAGGCAGTGAGGCCAAGGAGGAGGCCTGTGGGTTGGGGCCTCTGCTGACAGTGGGCAGGGAGATCTAGGTGCATAGTGTGGGCTCAGGTTTCTGAATGGGTGATGGAGCTTCATAGATGTCTCAGGGGCCCTAGGAGCTCCTAGGGGCCCTAGGTGTGATCTGGGGAGTCTTGCTTTCTCTGCAGGATGAAGATGGGAAGAGGTTATCAGATGAGGACATCAGAGCTGAGGCTGATACTTTCATGTTCGAGGGTAAGGGTCCCAGGGTGGGACCACAGAGGGGATGGATCTCCCCATCCCAGGGACCTGGCAGGTGGACCCTGGGCCACCCCATCCAGCCCAATCCTCCCCACCCTCCCTGAGGGTTTTAACATAAGGGTGCTACCCACCTCTGGTGTGGAAGCAGCCCAGACTCCCAAGCCTGTCTGCCTGCCTCTCAGGCCATGACACCACAGCCAGTGGCCTGTCCTGGGTCCTGTACAACCTCGCACGGCACCCAGAATACCAGGAGCGCTGCCGGCAGGAGGTGCAACAGCTCCTGGGGGACCGGGAGCCTAAAGAGATTGAGTGGTGAGTGCAGGTTCTCATGGCTCTTCCTGAGCCCCCACCACCCCGACATTGGCTGTGCTCCCGAAGTGGGGAAGAGGGAAGTTCTTTGTTGCTGTTGATTCTGTCACTCTGTCATCCCACTTGGTATGAATGGAAGCAGAGTTGGGAGGCAGGGTCTGGTATCCAGCTTGGATGGCAGGGGAAAGTTTGACAGGTTTGGGGACAGAAAGATCTGGGCTGCTGAGAGAATTAGTGACCACATATTCAGTAAGTGACCTCCCCTTGCATGTCCTTCCTTTTCTCTCTGAAATCACATTTCCCCCCAACTGTCTTTATTCCTGGAATATTTGCTTGTCTCCTGCCTCCTAATTCCTCCCATATTGTTTATTCCAGGAGTCATGGGGGGCACGTAGGGATTAAAGCCTCTCAACTCTGGTCCAGGAACACCTGAATCCATCCAGCCAGCCCCTATTCAACAAACACTGCCTTTCCATCTGCACTTTTGTGCCTCCTCTGATCTTTCCAAGGCCCATTCTGTGTCCTGGAGACCCAGGAAGGAGCCAGAGCAAGCCTTTGCCTTCCAGGAGCTCCCAGCCTTTGGGGGAATAGTCCAGGCTCAGGCCACTCCCAGTCCACATGGGCAGAACTGGGCTTGCCAGGAAGATGGGCAAGGCTGAGGGTGGAAGGGCATGTCAGCTGAGACCCTGAATGCCGATCAGTAGATAGTTGCCTGCATTTTGGGTGCACTTGGGTTAAAAAAAAAAAAGACAGCTGGGGCCAAGTGAAGGATTTAGGGAGGCGGGGGCAAAGGTAGAGAGAGAAGAGAAAGGAAAGGAGGGGGAGAGAGACAGGGAGAGAGATGTGGAAGACTTTGAAAGCAATATTTATGGCTTCACTTTCAACACAAGGATGATGAGGAACCACTGGGGTGTTTGAGCAGGAGGACAGGTCAGATCTGGTACCAGAGAGATATTTCTGGGCCTAGTGTGGGGGCCATGCTGGAGATGGACAAGCTACAGTGTGGGGGCCCAGGGAGGAGATTCTGAGGCCTGAGCCAGGCCAGGGCCTGTGGGGTGGTGAGGAAGCAACAGGTTGGGCAAGCAATTGGGAGCTAATGTTCTCCCTTCGAGCCTTTGCTTAGCACAGCAGTCTTGTGAGGTGAGGAAAAAAATTATGCTTTTTCCTGCAAGACTTCAAACACAATGATGCACTTAGTGAAAAAGAAAAGAGTACAAAAGACTTTGTAATGAAAACAAACTTCCTTCTTAATTCCCGCCCTTGGAGTACCTTCCATCAGTGCACACACCTGAGAGTCCTTTCAGGAGCGATGCTTTGTAATTTTCCATTTTTTAACCAGTTACTGAGACACCAGCTGTGAAACGCTTAAGTCGCCACACAAAAAGAAGGGGATTAAAGAAAGAGAATTCAGCCCCTTTACTGGAGCTTCAATATTTATACAGCTTTCCCAGTGGATTCTCGTGTGTGTGTGTGTGTGTGTGTGTTTTCTGAGAATGAAAGCACTACCTGCCAAAAAAGTCAATTTACCCCCACATTTCCAATTACATTACTCTCCATTTTTTCCCCTTGTCTAACTGCATTAGCTACTATCTCCAGTACCATGATAAGTAAAATATTGGATCTGTTTTTTTTCTTGCTTATTTGCCTTTTGATTTTGCTCTCTAGCCCTAAAGAATATTTTTATGTAAATTTGTAAACCTTTCTATGGTGTTTGTTCATGTATTGTGTATTGCTTAGAAAAGCTTCTAAAAATACCCAGCTAAATTTTCTCTACTACTTCTGCGGCCATGATTTTCTTTTCTTTTTTATTTTAAACCACTGTGTGGAGGTATGATTGACATACAAAAAGCTGTACCTATTTAATGTACATATGAGTTTGGAGATATTTGACCCATCTGGAATTTATTTTGTTACAGAGAGAGAACCTCATGGAGCTGGTGGGGGCGGGTCTCGGGTTTGCTCCCTGGGTAACTGCTGGGCTGTTCCTTAGGGAGGACCTGGCCCAGCTGCCCTTCCTGACCATGTGCATCAAGGAGAGTCTGCGCTTGCACCCCTCAGTCACGGCCATCTCCCGCTGCTGTACGCAGGACATTATGCTGCCTGATGGCCGGGTTGTCCCCAAAGGTGCTGGTGATGGCAGGGGCAGGGCCCACCCCAGCAGGAAGAGAGGCTGGGCAGGCAGGCGGTTCCTCCTGACCTGACTGACCTCTCCTCTCTCACAGGTGTTATCTGTGTTATCAGTATTTTTGGGACCCATCACAACCCAACGGTGTGGCCGGACCCGGAGGTGCTGCCTACCTCTTCCTTCATCCTTGTTTACTCCCCTTGGGGGCTCGAGGGGAGGGAGCAGGGTTCTGACCTGGCAAATCAAACACCCCTGTGCCCCATCACACACACCTCTGCTTCTCCAAGGTGGGCTGTCCTGGGGGACCTCCCTCAGTGGCCCTGTCTTGGCTTCCCCACAGGTCTATAACCCCTTCCGCTTCGACCCAGAAACCGCTCAGGAGAGGTCACCTCTGGCTTTTCTTCCCTTCTCAGCGGGGCCCAGGTGAGGACAGCAAGTATCTGAGGCAGGAAGGGGGTGATGGGGGCAGGGATCTGGGACTGAGATCCCAGGCACTACCCCAGGGCGGGGAAGGGGGAACATAGAAGAGCTCTGGCTCTCCTTCCTTTCCCTCCTCGGGAGGTTATGGCAAAGGGTTTGGGGAATGGGGGTTGGGTGGGTCCAAGGACGGGGCCTCGTTGGGCTCAGACCCCCTTCCCACTGTGTGCTGGTTTGAGTTCCGGGCTGGAGCCAGGACATATGCCAGTCCACACGGGGGTCCCAGGCACAGTTAGCGCCCTTCGATACCCCTGCGGGCAGGTGTCGGGGGGCGGGGGCGGGGGTCGGCGTCCAGGGCCCGGTCCCGGGCGAAATCGGAGGCCCCACGCCCTCCCTCGCGCACGCAGGAACTGCATCGGGCAGACGTTCGCCATGGCCGAGATGAAGGTGGTGCTGGCGCTCACGCTGCTGCGCTTCAGAGTCCTGCCTGACGATGCGGAGCCGCGCAGGAAGCCCGAGCTGATTCTGCGGGCAGAGGGCGGACTTTGGCTGCGGGTGCAGCCGCTGGGCACGGGCGCTCAGTGACACCCCCGGCCCCCCATCACCGCCCTGACCCCACACACCTCCCTGTGCAGAGTCCCAGGAAAAAATTGTGCTGCCACCGCTGCCCCAGCCTCGCAGCGGCGCCCCAGTGCGAGGGCGTGGCTGGTTGGAGGGGGGCCGGGTGTCTTTGAGTCTGAGACTCTGCCTGCCTCTCCTGCCCACCACAGGACCCCACGCTGATTGCGGCTTCTCCTAGGGTCCAAGCAGGGACCTAATACTATGGGTAATGGGGAAACATGGCAGGTGTTTGAGCAGGAGAGGGACCACAGTTGAAGACGGACTTGAGGGGCACAGTTGAGGTTCTGAATCATTGAGAATCCCTGGAGGCAGATTCATTCCTCTGAGCCGCTGATACTTCCCAAAACAGAGATCCCTGGCCAGCCCAGAACACAGACGAGACCTGGCATCCTCTCCAAAACTCTTATCTTCCCTTTCTTTTGTAAACAGTTCCACCCCTGTGTCTGCACCCCTTGCCCCTAGTCTATCTCTCTGGCGACCCCCTGACCTCCCTTTAGGAAGCCTCTCTCTTCCCTTCTCTGGACCCCTTGATGCTGCCCAGGCAGCCTGCCCAACAGATACTGGTTGAGCCACCACTGTGTACCAGGAATTCACAAGAGTGTGTTTGAAGGGGGGGTCCTCACTTCTGACATTTTACCTCCAGGTTCCTCCTTTATTCTCCTCACAGGTCACCCCTGACCTGTCTTTGGGTGGAGTGGTGGGGAGGTGGGGGTGGAGGACCATCCCTTGACCGTTGAAGCTCAGAGCCAGACCATTGGAAACAAACATCACCCCTAAGAGCGTGGGTTTCAGAATCAGACCGCTTGAATTTAAGTCTCAGCTCCGCTGTGTGACTTGGGCAAGTCAGTTCCCCTCTCTGTGTCCTGATTTCCTCAACTATGCAAAGGAGACAACAGCAGTATGTACCTCAGGGAGGTCTCAAGGACACCGTGCTTGGTGCACAGTAAATGCTCAATAAGTGTGGCCATTATTACTTTTCCTTCAGAAAGCCTGGTTCTTTTTATTTTTTAAATTTTATTTTAAAATTACAATTGGCATTCAATATTATTTTGCATTAGTTTCAGGTGTACAGCATATTGGTTAGGCAATTGTATACTTTACAAATGGATCCCCCCAGTATTTCAAGTACCCACATTGTAGCATCCAGCAAACGCGAGAACAAATATCGGAGACTTTCAGAGTATCAAAGATGTTACTTTATTGGCCAAGTTTAACCTGCACAGGGGCGAACTCTCAAAGTGTCCAGCGACACAGTGCCCACAAGGAGCTGTAAACGAGAGCCACGCCAAGTGCTTACAACTACATTCTTATATATGGGCGGGCAAGCAAGCGTTATACAGAAGCAGATGTGGCAGTTAGTAATTCGCTTACAAAGACCGCGCGCGGGAATTTCAAACCAAGCATTCTTTCATAAGGCAGGAAAGCAGGATGTTTGTTCATTAACCTAGTAATCTCCTGGCTCTAGCTAACTAGTTTTCTATTTTCTCATTAAAAACTACAAAGCACTGCTTATCTAGCCTACCCGGGGAGAGCGTCTGCTAGACACAGGATGTTTGCTTTAACTGTACTTTGTCTCTTTTATCATTTCTTTTTAGCTACAATGTGGTTCTTGTCTATTAAGGTTAAATTTAGTTCTTAATTTCCTTGTTCCCAACACACATAACACCATACATATTTATCACAATATTATACTCCCTTTGCTGTACTTTGCATCCCTGCGATGATTTTGTAACTACCTATTTGTACTTAATCCCTTCACCTTTTTCATCCAAACCTCCAACCCCACTCCCTCTGGGGCCATCGGTATGTTTTCTGTATCTATGAGTCTGTTTCCATTTTGTTTGTTCATTTATTTTGTTCTTTAGATTCCACATATAAGTGAAATCATATGGTATTTGTCTTTCTCTGTCTGACTTGTTTCACTTAGTATAATACCCTCTAGGTTCATCCATGCTGTTGCAAATGGTAAGATTTTAATCTTTTCTATAGCTGAGTAATATTCCATCATGTATATGTATCACAGCTTTTTTTCCTACTTGTTTATTGATGGCCATTTGGTTGCTTCCATATCTTGGCTATTGTAAATAACATTGCACTGAATATAAGGGTGCATATATTCTTTTGAATTAATGTTTTGGGTTTCTTCACCCAGATATACACCCAGAAGTGCAACTGCTGAGTCATAAGGCAGTCCCATTTTTAATTTTTTGAGGAAGCTCCACAGTTTTCCATAGTGGCTGCACCAGTCTACATTCCCACCAACAGTGCATCACAGTTTCCCTTTCTTCACATCCTCACCAACACTTGTTGTTCATTGATTTATTGATGATAGCCATTCTGACAGGTGTGAGGGGCTATCTCATGGTTGTAATTTTTTAAATATATTTTATTGATTATGCTATTACAGTTGTCCCATTACCCTCCCTTCACTCCCCTCAATCCTGCACACACCCTCCCACCCACATTCCCCACCTTTAGTTCATGTCCATGTGTCATAAGTTCTTTAGCTTCTACATTTCCCATACTATTCTTACCCCCCACTATTTTCTGCCTACTATCTATGCTACTTATTCTCTGTAGCTTTTCCCCCTCTCCTCCTCCCACTCCCCTGTTGCTAACCCTTCATGTGATCTCTATTTCTGTGATTCTGTTCCTGTTCTAGTGGTTTGCTTAGTTTGTCTTGGTTTTTGTTTTAGGTGTGGTTGTTAATAATTGTAAGCTTGATGTCATTTTACTGTACATGTCTTTTATCTTCTTTTTCTTAGATAAGTCCCTTTAACATTTCATAAAATAAGGGCTTGGTGATGATAAACCCCTTTAACTTGACCTTATCTGAGAAGCACTGTATCTGCCTTTCCATTCTAAATGAAAGCTTTGCTGGATAGAGCAATCTTGGATGTAGGTCCTTGCCTTTCATGACTTGGAATACTTCTTTCCAGCCCTTTTTTGCCTGTAAGGTCTCTTTTGAGAAGTCAGCTGACAGTCTGATGGGAACTCCTTTGTAGTCTCTTGCTGCTTCTAGGATTCTTTCCTTCATTTTAATCTTGGCTAATGTAATTATGATGTGCCTTGGTGTGTTCCTCCTTGGGTCCAACTTCTTTGGGACTCTCTGAGCTTCCTGGACTTCCTGGAAGTCTAGTTCCTTTGCCAGATTGGGGAAGTTCTCCTTTATTATTTTTGTTCAAATAATTTCTCCACTTGTTGCTCTTCCTCTTCCCCTTCTGGTACCCCTATAATTCGGATATTGGGATGTTTAACGATGTCCTGGAGGTTCCTAAGCCTCTCCTCATTTTTTTGTATTCTTGTTTTTTCATTCTTTTCTGATTGGTTATTTCTTTCTTCCTTCTGGTCCACTCCATTGATTTGAGTCCCAGTTTTCTTCCCATCACTATTGGTTCCCTGTGCATTTTCCTTCATTTCACTTAGCATAGCCTTCATTTTTTCATCTAATTTGCGACCAAATTCAACCAATTCTGTGAGCATCCTGATCACCAGTGCTTTGAACTGTGCATCTGATAGGTTGGCTCTCTCTTCTTTGCTTAGTTGTATTTGCTCTGAGCATTGATCTGTCCTTCGTTTGGGGCCATTTTTTTTGTCTTGTCGCACCTGCTATGTATGAGGGGTGGAGCCTTAGGTGTTCACAAGGGCAGGGCAACCCAGTCGCTGCGTTGTGATGCTGTATGTGGGGGTGGGGTCCAAGAGGGAACAATGGTGCTTGCTCCATTCCCTGCTGGATTTCAGTCCCTTCCGCCTCTTTCCCCAAGTAAACTGGGCCCTTCTAGTGCTGATTCCTGGGTGGGTAGGCTGGTGTACGTTCTAGGACCCCATGGGTCTCTCCAACAAACTCTCCTGTGAGGCTGGGAGTTTTTCCTGGCACCTCAACCCCCACAGGTGTTTTCAATCAGTGTTTTGTGGCTCTGTTTCCCTGGTTTATCTGCACAAGAATGTTGGACCACCCAATCAGCCAGCCACCTTGTGTGCCGTGCCCAGCTTCACAATTGCCACTTCGCTGGGTCTGCCCGTTGCCACCCCGAGCCCGGGGTCTGCCAGCTGCCATCTGGTGCACCTGGGGTTTGTCAGCTACTGCCTTGTGTGCCTGGTACCGCTGCTTTTTTTGCCGAGACCCCTCTTGGACCAGCCGCCCAACTCCGCCCCTCCTACCAGTCTGGATGAGTGTGTCTATTCTAACTCTTTGGTTGTCGGACTTCCACACAGTTCAATATTCTGTCCGTTCTGGTTGTTATTTTGTTTTTAAATTGTTGTCATTTTGGTTGTGCGAGGAGGCACAGTGTGTCTACACATGCCTCCACCTTGGCTGGAAGTCCTCATGGTTTTAATTTTCATTTCTCTGATGATTAGTGAGGTTGAGCATGTCTATTGGCCATCTGTATGTCCTCTTTGGAGAAGTGTCTATTCAGGTCTTCTGCCCATTTTTTAATTGGATTGTTTGGGGTGGGTTTTTTTTTTAAAGTGCTGCATGAGTTCTTTATAAATTTTGGATATTAACCCTTTTGGATATTAACATCCATCAGATGTATTGGTGAATATCTTTTTTGATTCAGCGGCTGTCTTTTCATTTTGTTAATAGTTTGCAGTGCAAAATTTTTAGTTTGATATAGTCCCTTTTGTTTATTTTAATTTTGTTTACCTTGTTTGAGGAGCTATATCAGAAAAAAATATTGCTAAAAAATTTCAAAGAGTTTACTGCCTATGATTTTTTTCTAGGAGTTTCATAGTTCCATATCTTACATTTAAGTCTTCAATACATTTTGACTTTATTCTTGTATATGGTGTAAGAAAGTGGTCTAGTTTTATTTTTTCCATGTATCTGCAGTTTCCCCAACACCATTTATTGAATAGATTGTCTTTATCCCATTGTATGTTCTTGCCTCCTTTGTCATGTTTTAATTGACTATTTAGGCATAGGTTTATTTCTGGGCCCTCTATTGTGTTTCATTGATATATATATATATCTTTTTTTTAATCCTCACTGGAGGATATGTTTTTATTGATTTTAGAGAAAGAGGGAGAGAGAGGCAGAGAAAGAAATATCGATGTGATAGAGAAACATCAATTGGTTGCCTCCCATATGTGCCCTGACCACAAGTTGAACCCACAGACTACGTATGTGCCTAACAGGAGATAAAACCTACAACCTTTTGGTGTATGGGGCAACACTTTTAACCAACTGAGCCACCTAGCCAAGGCTATGTGTCTGTTTTTATGCCAGTACCATGCTGTTTTGATTACTATAGACTTGTAGTATAGTTTGAAATCAAATAGCATGATATCTCCAACTTTGCTATTTTTCTTGAGATTGCTGCATCTATTCAGGGTCTATTGTAGTTTCATGTAAATTTTTGGATTATTGTTCTAGTTCTGTGGAAAATGTCATTAATATTTTGCTAGGAAATGTGTTGAATCTATAGAGTGCTTCAGGCAGTATGGACATTTTAACAGTGTTAATTATTCCTATCCATGAGCATGCTATATGCCTCCATTTATTTGTATCTTTTTCTATTTCTTTCTTTAATATCTTATAATTTTTCAAGTACAGGCTACCTCCTTGATGAAATTTATTCCTAGCTATTTTTTTATACTCTTGTAAATGGGGTTGTTTACTTAGTTCTCTTTCTGACAGTTCGTTTTTGGTGTATAAAAATGCAACTGATTTCTGAATATTTATTTTGTATCCTGTTACTTTACTGAATTTATCAGTTCTGATAGCTTTTTGTGTGTGTGTGTGAAATCTTTAGGGTTTTCCTTATATAGTATCATATTATCTGCAAATAGTTAGTTTTACTTCTTCCTTTCCAATTTGGATGCCTTTTATTTCTTCTTCTTGTCTGATTGCTGTGGCCAGGACTTCCAGTACTAAGTTGAATTCGAGTGATGAAAGTGGACACCCCCCTGGCTGGCGTAGCTCAGTGGATTGAGCACGGGCTGGGAACCAAAGTGTCCCAGGTTCGATTCCCAGCCAGGGTACATTCCTGGGTTGCAGGCCATAACCCCCAGCAACCGCACATTGATGTTTCTCTCTCCCTCTCCCTCTCCCTCTCTCCCCCTCCCTCCCTTCCCTCTCTAAAAATAAATAAATAAATAAAATCTTTAAAAAAAAAAAAGAAAGAAAGTGGACATCCCTGCCCCTGATCTTAAGGAAAATGCAGAAAGCATGGGTCTAAGAGCATGTTGTGTCTCACACCTGTTTTTTCTGCTATGAGTTTTAAGAGTTTGTCTTGGAACTTAAAGGCAAGCCTTCCAGTATCTATACATCAGCTCTCTTCCCCCTTGCAGGCTGCACATATCAGAAGTAATTGCTGAGGGTGTTGGGGTGCCTGAAAATACAAGGGGGTGGGAGAATGAGAGACACCTCAGTTCATGGCCCAAAGCAATATTCTGCTACAAATGTTGATCTCCTTTCATAGCCAAAGGGACTGTGCCCCACCAACCCCTGCTGACACCTTGAACTTCCTCTCCAATTGATCTCCCTCCTTCACTACATTGGGTCACCCTGGTTCCTTTCTGACCTGCTATTCTCAATCTTTCCTCTCCTTAGGGCCTTGTCACATGCTGTTCGCTCCATTGGGGATGTGCCTACGACTCATCATTCAGGGTTTGACTGAAATGTCACCTCTTCGTAGAGGCTCTTCCTTCACTGCAGAAGTAGCACACCATCCCAGTTAATGTCCACCCCACTGCTCCGTTTATTTCTCTCATAGGTCTTATCACCATCTGAAATAATCCTATTTATTAATCGTGTGGAATATATAAGGTTAAAATATCCATTAGTTACATCTATGGGAAACAGCAAGGGCCTGTGCTAAGCTGGCCCAAAGCATCAACTGGATAAATGGCCCAATGGTGAGAACATGGAGAAAAGGGAACCTTTGTGTGCTGTTGGTGGGGATGTAAATTGGCATTGCCTCTATGGAAAACAGTGTAGAGGTTCTTCAAAAAAATTAGAAATAGAACTACCATATGATCCAGCAATATCACTTCCAGGTATTTGCCTGAAGGAATTGAAATCACTCTCTCATTGTGATATCTGCACCCTTGAGATCATTGCAGCCTTATTCACAACAGCCAAAACATGGGAGCAGCCTAAATGTCTATCAACGATCAATGGATGAATGAATAAAAACAATTTGGAGTATATGCACACACACACACACACACACGGATATTTCTCAGCCACTAAAAAAGAAGGAAATCCTGCCTTTTGTGACAACACAGATGGCATTGGGGGTATCATGCTAAGTGAAATAAGTCAGACAGAGGAAGACAAATACTGTAAGATCTCACGTATGGAATCTAAAAAAGCCAAAATCATAGAAACAGCAGATTTGTGGTTGCCAGCGGCTGTGGGGTAAGGGGACTGAGAAGATGTTGGTCACAGGTTGGAAGCTGACCCTGCCTTGTAGCACACTCATTCACTGTGACCACGCAACTCTCACTGAGTCGTGGCTCTTCCTCTATAAGCAGGAGCAGTAGTAACTGGTTTTCACTATAAAACAGAAAAGCATGTGGATGATGGGAGAAAGAAGCCCTCTTTTTCCTTAGTGGGGTCTACCCTCTAGAGTAATGGAAAGGATGCTTGTCTGTACAAAGAGCAAATAAAATGAAATCACACAGGCAAATTGGAAATTTCAAAGCAACAGAGCCTTGAGGATATGACTTCAAGTCCCAAGATACCCTCCCCCAGTTCCTGTATGTCCTAGGACAGGATTTCTTTTTGTTTGGGGATTATTTTTTTTTGCATAAAATTTTGCATACATTTCTATCTCTGGCAATTGTAACAGCCCCACCAAGAACTTAGAAGTCTGTCACCCCTTCCATATCCAATGGGGGAAGTGGTGACAACCTCTGTTTGAAGGCTCCCTTCCTCCCTGGGTGGGTCATTTCCTCTTTGGTTGTCTTTAATCATGAGAAAACTCTTGCCCTGGACCACCAGGCCTCTAATAGTCATGTGTATGGGTGTGTAGTGTAACAATCTCAGAAACATGGGTGCATTTAGTTCAAGGCTTAGGACACATGATTTTAAAACCACAGCATGTTGTTCATTTCCTTTAACACATTAATACAAATGTGCAACCCTTCGGTTCACTTACTCATATTCTTGTGAATTCATTTCACTCCCCTAGGAGACAAACACCAGAAGGCAAGGGACCTTATCTTGCTTGGTTTGTGCTTGAATTCCTAGAGCCTGGAACACAAAAACGCTCAATAAACATTGGTTTGGATGAATGACTAGATGAGTTCTCACAGCATGGGGTCAGATAAATGAAGGAGTTGGTTGGCTCAAACACCCACTGAACTCTACAGAGTGATGAAATGATACTACCTAGCATTTATGGGCATGTACTAAGGGCCAGCAAGTTTACAGGCACCACACCATGAGGTAGGTGCCAGTACTATCAGCTTCCTGATTTGCAGACAGAGACTCAGAGACAGCACCCAAGTGGCAGGGCCAGGACTTGAACCCACATCTGTCTGAGTGGAATGAGTGCCCTAAAACAGAAAGCTATCTGCTACTACACAGATCTCCTTTTGCCTATTAATCTGTCTTTAAGAACTGAAAAGAAACTATTCACACTTGTGGACAGCCAGTCTCTGTTTAATAAATGAAAACAATTAATTAAGGAGAAAAGAAAGAAAACAAGTCCCTAGAGAATTCAATGGAAGTGATGTGATAAGTTCTTCTTAGCAGGCAATTAGTAGAAGTTGTCTGAACCCATCACCTCCAGTCCCACCCAGTGCCCTCTGTGCCCATCAGTCAAAGTCCCTGGGCATACTTCCCTGAGAACACAGATAAATTAAAAATATTATAGACTTGACTTGTATTAAAGAGCCCAATGGGACATGCATCCTGCACACTCTGCCAAACTCTGCTGTCATAATAACCCCAAGGAGCCAATTTCAAGTTTTCCTAGTGAACAAGCCACAGGATTTTCAATGACACCTGGGAGCTCATTAAAAGTTGACTCTCAATTCCCCACCTCTACCTCATTTGTGCAAATTTAAAGAGTCCCTAAGGAGCAGCTGCAAAGCTGCAGGCAGATGAGGTCTGATGCATAGCTCAGGGCAAAGTGGAGACAGAGCCACATGCTCACCCCACTTCCCAGCGATTGTCCCCAGACAGTTTCCCCACTTAGGCTGAAGCCCAAACTCAGGCACTTGATTAGCATCAAAAGACACAAGTGGGAATCAGAGGTGGCATTCTCTTTCCCTGAGCCACAAGATGCTCAAAGATCCATGGCCAAATGCACTGTGATGCCCATGGTAGGAGAACCCAAAGCAGGCGAAGCAGCTGGTGCTGACCGTGGCCACAGTGAGCACCCTGTGCTGCTGGGTGTGCATGGAGGTGAAGGTCTCCAGAGCTCTGAGCATGCTGAGGCTTTTACTTCCACAGTAATGCTCACTGCAACGTGTTGTGTAAGTTATGTGATCAACACCTGCCCTCCTCCCCGCCCACTGAACTGGCAGCCCAGAGAAAGTAGGACCACCTGAACTTGCTCATCATTGTGTTCACACAGTCTGGCACTTAATAGGTACTCAATAAATACTTGCTGAGAATAACAAATGACTCATCTCAATCTTATAGCAAGTCTGTGAGCTGAAAAATCATTCTGAAATGTGAATGGGCAGTCCCTAAATTTATCTGAAATTCACTTTGTGGGTGTGATTGACGTCACAGGCGCCCACCTGCCCTTACATGTGTATCACCACTTGTATCCCCGGTGTGAAGGAGCATCATCCTATGCCTGTTGGGGTGACAGGGTAATGCCCTTGGTAATCTGACCCCTGTATGTTCTTTTAGGCCATTCTGAGTTGCCCCTCCACCTTGCTGCTCACGTCCCCTGCTGTAATGGCCTTCTGTCCCTCAGATGGTCAATCATTTTCCCACATCAGGTCCTTTGTGTGGGCTGTCTTCTTCCTGGTGCGCCCTTTCCGCTCTCTCTGCCCCTGGAGCAGAATGTCTCATCTGAAATACCATCTTGTCCTTGAAACAATCTCTCCCCAGCCTGCCCTCTCTGTGGATTAGGTGTTGGGCTCTCTTAGCCAATTGCCTGAGACTCCTAAGAAAAAAGTGAACTACTTTCCCTCTGAGGGGCACATGACATACCAGGAATGAGCCTCCTGACAATGGAGGGCCAACGATGCTTTTCATAGCTGATTGGTGCTGCTTTCTGGGAAAGATCTTGATCCAAAGGGAGAAAGTGTATACATTAGTAAATAAACGGAGCCACTTTAAAATGGAGCTGGAGCTGCCATTCCAGAGGAACTGCCTTGCACATCTCATGCCTCAGACATTGGGATGTTGAAATGGCAAAATAACCTTTGGGTTGGGCCTAGAGCAACCTTGTGCCCCAAAGAAATGTTTGCAAAGATGCCAAGAAAGCAGATATTATGACTACTGGACTGGTGACTATGGAACTGAAATTTAAAAACATTTAAAATTACTGTCACTATGTTATCTGCGTCCATAGAAATGCCTTCCTTCTGCTGATGTAATCGTTTCTCTTCCCCTTTCTTATAGATATCCTTTGCCTTTGTCTCCTAATCAGAACCCCGTTTGGGCTTCTGTGCGAATCAGTGCTTCCTGAATAACTATTCTTAAGGAGCTCAAATAAATGTTTGTTGCCTCTCACTTCGAAAGGCTTTTTTATTTTTGGGTTAACACTTACCATCCTCAGACTCCTCACCTTCTTTACTAAACTCAGTTATTCAACATCTACCTCTCCCCTCCCCTGTAATGTCTGTGAGAGCGGGTACTGTGTTCATCCTGGGCTCAGATGACACATCTGTTGAATGCATGGTTTCTGTGGCTGGATTTTCTCTGAGCTAGGGAGAATAGCTGTCTCACACACTGTCTTTAGGCTGGTCATGCTTACCAAACTAACCAGCTAGTGTGGCCAGTTCTAACTTTACCATGTTGTCGATGAGTGGATCAAACATGAGCTATCAATTCTCCATTTCCCATCTGACAGCCACTGATCTCAAAGAACAGGAGACCCCTTGAGCAAAATGTGGACTAAGGATTTGAAGAGCTCTTCAACTTGTTTTAACTGTCCTATCCTCAGTGGGAATTCTACCTTATACATATTTATGGCATACCTAGTTTGTGCTAGAGATGAAAGTTGACCTGTACCTGAATTTCACTTCTAAGAGCTCCTGGACAAGGGCAGGAGACAGGCGATACATGCCAGGAAGAAGGGATGTACCCCTGAGATTACTGCTTTCTTAACCCATTGAAGTAAAAAAAAAATCCAGAAAGGAAATCCATTGATGATCAATTTACAATAAACACTAAAGAGTATCTGCCAGATTAATATATTTGGGATCAGATTGAGGACACATGGGAAATTGCCCCACTCCCAAGTCAAGGACACGGCTGTAGAGAGAAGTAGCTGGAGAACATTATTCATGAAGGAGGAATAGAGTCTGACCCACCTCTTCATCTGCACAGGTTCTGGCACAGAGCAGCGGTCCATGAATGTTGGGGCAGTGAAACTACTTGAACCAACATTTATTGGTTATCCCCTAGGTCACTAGGTCACAAGGACGGTGGGCTGAATCCAGCCCTCCACCTCATTTTATCCGGCCCGGCATCTTGTTTCTACCCGGTGGCAGCTCCAAGTTCCTTGCCCCTAGTTAAGGAGTAGTTACATTTATACAGTCCTAAAATTACATTTGGCCCTTTGAAGGCAACTGGGAGGCTGACATGGCCCCCAGTGAAAATGAGTTTGACACCCCTGCCCTAGGTCAAATTCAGTGGAGAGATCTGGAAGCGCATGGCTCTTGCCTGGGAGAAAAATTGAGCAAAGCTATAAAGTTCAGACAGATTTTGGTAACTCATCATTGTTTCTCAAGTGGCCACACAGTAGGTGTTCAAAATAGCTGAGATATGGCCCCAGCTGGCGTAGCTCAGTGGATTGAGCTCGGGCTGCGAACCAAAGTGTCGCAGGTTCGATTCCCAGTCAGGGTACATGCCTGGGTTGCAGGACATGACCCCCAGCAACCACACATTGATGTTTCTCTCTCTCTCTCTCTATCTCCCTTCCTTCACTCTCTAAAAATAAATAAATAAAATCTTTTAAAAAAAGCTGAGATAAATAAAAGCATAGCACCTTGAAGAAAAATTTGAAATGGGGGCTAAGACAGGGGAGTTCACCTTGACCAAGCACCTACTCTGTGCCAAGTTCTTTACACACATTGTGTTTCTTGTTCTGTATAATTCTGCCCGCTTTTAAGGAGTAAGCAAATCCCAGACAGGCCAAGTCACTTGTCCAAGGTCACAGCGCCACCTCCAGGTAGGCTGTAAAATGCAACTGAACTGTGACCTTGGTCTCCTCCACTCCCATCCTGGTTTAGTATTGACCTGCTTTGTGACCTCACCCTGGCACACTGACAGACCTCTCTGGGCATCCAGGAGCGGCCCTGAGGAGCTTTCTCCTTGTCCTGGATTCACTCCTTGGTTGGACATCCGTCCCTCTGATATCGTTCCCCAATTTGAGTTATGCCAGGAAATCCCCCGAGATTTTCCCTATATTCTGGGTTGTTTACTGTCCCAAGTGATAGAGCTTACAGGATAATGTTGGCTGGACCCTTGTTCAGTCTAGGATGGCAACTACCCTTGCCAAGCTGGCATCCCCAGCCCCTTCCTGGACTCTCCTTCCAGCCCACCCTTCCCTGGGATTCTAGAGCCATGTTTTTAAGGTCCCTTCAAGGCCCTTCATGTTTTGGGTCCAGTCTGACTTCCCAGCCCCTTGACCTCATTCTGGGCACTTTTCCATGCCTTTGTTCAGGCTCATTCCTTTGCTTGCAATTCCCTCCCTGGCAACGTGTCCTGGGACTGTTTTCCTTCCTTCAAAGTTCAGCTCAGATGGTACCTCCCTACTCCCCTGCTTGCGCTATAGGGTCTCATAACAACATGCAAGACTTTTATTCCTTATTCTCTTCAATGTATATATTTATTGAATATTTACTGTCCTATTTAGTATTTACCATGTGAGGTGCTGGGAAAATAGCAGTAACCAGCTAGATGCTACCTCTGTCCTCAGGAGGTCCATAGGAATTTAGTGGGTGACACAGACACATAAGCAAACAATGACAACACCATGTGATGGGGAACTTCAGGAGAAGCTAGGACTCAGAGAGGCACCTGACTCAGTCAGGGATATGGGAAACATGGTAGGCTTCCTGGAGGTGGTGACATATGACTTGAGACTGGTTAATCAAGGCAGATGG